GGGTACTTGTTCTTGATTGTCACCTTGTTGAGCGCCCGGTAGTCAATGCACATCCGAAGGCTCCCGTCTTGCTTCTTTTGGAAAAGCACCGGTGCGCCATAAGGAGCTTTCGACGGTCGGATGTAGCCGGCATCCAACAACTCCTTTAGTTGTCTTCGAAGTTCCTCCAATTCGGGCGGGGCCATCCGGTATGGACCCATTGCCGGAGGTCTCGCCCCTTTCTCCAATTCGATCTCGTGATCGACTTCTCGTCTCGGGGGCAACTTCTTTGGTAATTCGGGGGGCATCACGTCCTTGAACTCGTCTAGCACGCCTTTGATCTCCGTCGGGACAACTTGGCCCTTTGACGGGTCATCCTCCTTGAGAGCCACGAAATACGTCTCGTGCCCTCGCTTGAATCCCTTCGAAACTTGCATAGCCGAAAAAACATGCGATTTAACTTTCTCAACGTGTAAAGGAACATGAACACTTACGTCACCTTCCGTGAATCTCATTGACTTGGTCTTGTGGAAGATCACCGTCATTTCTCTCATGAATTTCACGCCATATATGACTTTGTAATCACTCATCGGTAGCACCATGAAGTCCAATTTGCCGTGCCATCCACCAATTTGGACCGGGACTTGTTTGGCCATGCCGGTGATTGGTTTTGACGCCGAATCCGCCGGTTTCATCCACCCAATTCCCTTCGTCACCTTTACACCCATTTCCGTCGCCTTGTCTTCGGACAAGAAGTTTCGAGATGCTCCCGAATCCATCAAGACCTTCGTAGGTACCCCGTTTACCTTGGCCTCGCAATATATGAGTTCATCCTCGGGTCCCTCCTCCGTAGGCACCGTGAACATTTCGTCGCTTGCCTTTACGGCATTGAGGACTCTCATTGCTCCCAACCTCGCCTCTTCGGGCTCCTCCCGCTCCACTTGGACTACGGTGGTAGCATTGAGAGCCTTCCTCTTCGGACAATCCCTAACAAAATGTGGCCCTCCACACGTGAAACAACTCCGGTCTTTCGCACCGGCCTCGGGTGCTCTTTCCCGACCCTTAAAGAAAGGTTTGTTCGTCGGCTTGTAGGGCTTCACTCCCCCACCTTTGTCCTTGATCACCTTCTTGGGCACAAAGTCCCGTCGGATCTCCAAAAGATCCTCGGCCGCCGATATAGCTTCTTGTAATATTTGGACCCTTTCGCATCTCAACTCGATTGCCGCCCATGATTGCAACCCCTCCATGAAGTTGAACAACCGATCCTTCTCGACCATCTCGGGGAGTTCAAGCATCAACGGTGTGTATTCATTGATGTACTCCCTAATACTTCTCGTATGTTTGAGGTCCCGCAACTTCTTTTTGGCCATATCCTCGGCATTCTTCGGGTAGAATTGATCCTTCAAGTCGGACTTAAACTCTTCCCATGTATCGATTCGGGCTACCCCTCGGGCAATATCATTGTGGCGCCTCCTCCACCACAAACCTGCATCATCCGACAAATACAAGACCGCCGTCTTGATTTTGTCCTCATCATCGCGTATTCTTTCTGCATCCATATAATTTTCGATGGACCAAAAGAAATTATCGATTTCCTTAGGAATACGCTTACCCGAACATTTCGGAGGTTCCGGAGCTCTAACCCGCGAACCTTCTCGCACCTTGGTGCCGCCTCCATTCTCCAAGGCCGCCTTGAACAAGGCTCGTTCCTCCTCAAGGCGTTCCAACCTCAAAGTCGTGTGTTCCCGCAACTCGCCTAACTCCACCGCGGTCATAGCTTTGAATTCCACCCTCAATTCGTTAAGGGACGTCGTCATGGTACCCTTAAACGCATTGATAGTTTCCAACACAAAACTCCTCAACTCGTGGAGTCCCGCCAAGGCGTTGTTCTCGACTTCGCCCATGTTCGTCTCCAAGGTGTCCAACCGCTCTATGGACTCCCCCACGGCAAGCTCCAGCTTGACCGCCCGTGTCTTCAACTCCGCAATGAATTCCCGAGACCTACTCCGTCTCTCCTTGCGTCCGTCCAATCCCGCAGCATTTCCATCCGACACGTTCCCGTCGTTTTCTCCCGACATTCCCACTGCTTGCCAAGATCGTTGCTCTGATACCACGTGTCACGGGTTAACTTCCTTCACTCGAAGTAACCGTGCGCCCCTTAGCAATTCACTCCCGTCGGCTACTAAGGCAGGCTTCCCGACTCGGCCAAGCACCACAAAAGCCAAAGGCTTTCTAGAGAGAGAAACTAGAGAGAGAAAGTGTTGAGAGAAATACTTTTGATTGCTAAAGACTTGGATACTTACAAGTGAGGTGCAAACACCTATTTATACAAGCCAAATAAGTAAATGCTATCTTCCTAACTACCGAATTAAATACAATCTACCAACAATCAACCATCAACTCCCAACTACCTCATTAATGCCAAGTTCTACCACCTTCCGGAACCTTCTAGAAGATGTTAGTGAGTTTGAGTGAAGTCTTTGGCATAATGAAAAGTGTTAAGTATGGGAAAACCACCGCCATATGTCCGCTTGAAAGTCCGACCGTGACAGGGGGCTTGGTGAGTGTGGAAGTTGTCACATTGTAGAAACCGATCCGTGAGAAGAAGGAGATAAGGAAAGTGAACCGGTGAGATTCCGAGTGTTCCGAAAGTTTTTCTGGTGAGTTCTAGTGAGATTTAGAAGTCCTTTTCAAATGTCGATTCCGGTGGATATCGAGGTTTAAAATGTAGAGCCGACTTTCATCTTGCGACATGGTTACCTTGGGCTATTCGCACCATAGACTCAGCCGAAATTCAATCGTCTCTTTCGCCGGTGTTGAAATAAGGAAGAAGATCTGAGAAAGTCAATCGGAAAGCAGCCGGGTCTGTTCGGGACAAAGAAGATCGAAGCAGTTCGGAGAACATCGGAGAAGACGGCCGTGCTGCTGCCTGGAGTTGCTGTCCTCCGGTGTCGACGCTGTGTTCCGGAGGAAACTGGAGCTGATGTCGGATGAGGATTTGTCCAAGGATCGAAGCCGTCGTCGTTCGTGTCGGTCTTTGTTGGATGAATAGATAAAGGAATAATCGATTTGTTGGCGTAGAAAGGATTGAAGAGATTAATCTCTCGGTTGAATTCCAAAAGGACACCAACAGGGAGGTTTCAGTTAAAATGATTTTGTTCCTAATTGCTTTCATTAATTTTAGGGGCTGTTTGTTTGGCTTTCATTTGATTTTCCAGAATTTAAGCCTTTTGATCAATTGTGTTTAATTTGGTTTTAGTATTATAGTATTTTGGGTTTTACTCGAAATTCGCTTTTCATGGTCGTGATTTTGTTTACGAGGTATTATTCGATATAAATTTAAAAGATTTGGGGATAAATTCACAACATGCCTAAGTTTAATGAATGACAAAAATAAAATCATGATGTAATTTTAATAGACAAAAATAATACTTTTTTAGTACAAACAAAAGATGTTAGTAAAATTAAAATTATTTTTTTGCATTAATCTAAACATGTTAAGAATTGTTAAAAATATATATATATAGTTAATCAAACTCAATACATAAATTTTATTTTTTTTTAGAAATAAACTACTTGGTAATAGCTAACAAGAACAAATGATAGCACCCAGTTACAAATAAAAAATAAAAAAATAACAACGAAATTAAGAGCCAAACACACATTACAAAATCACCCGATTTTGACGTTAAATACATTTTTCCAACACATCCGTAGTTAATAACCCTTTGCCCAAAAACAGTGTGGTCTTCAAAGGAAGGAAAATTACCAGTCCTACAATCGACAGAAAGATATTAACACAATATTTTTTCGAGCACAACCAATATGTGGAAAGCTTGAACGACAGAGAATCATCGACTTTGAGAAAATGCTAAACATCTCAAGGCTTACAATTCTAGCATATAGAGGGCAACTAATATTAAAATTAGCAATAATAAATCTATTGTTTTTTTAGAAAATAGTATGGTCACGGCATGTTGAAAAAAAAAATTTTGACCCGGTAAACTTTGAGAGATTGGATCAATGTACAAAAAAAAAAAAAAATGTAAGCATTTCTTACAAATTTGGGATAAAAATGAGCATATTAGGTCAGATGCTAATATCATACATCCTTAATTACTCGTAGACAACAAACTATATAATAAATGAATTAGTAAGTGGAATTGATATAGATTCTTTTATGTATGAAATATTGTATGCTAAATATAATAGAAAGAAGAAGAAAAATAGTAAAAGAAGAACCACAAATTAAGAAAAAAGAAGGTAAAAAGAAGAAAAAAATAGAAATAAAGGAAAAATAGGGAGAGACATTAACATAGTATGATGAAGAAGAAATAGAAGGAAAATAAACAGTTGAATATAGAATAAGGTAAAGAACGGGATGAGTAGAAAAAAAAAAAAAAAAAAAAAGATGTGCAACAGTGATTAAGTATATACAATAATGAGATAAAAGTTTTTTTTTTTTTATCTTTAATAATACATTTCTAATTAATATTATTTAGTATTGTTTTTTTTTATATATATACATTATTACTAATACTAGGATATAAGATTATTCTTAACAAATGACAATAAAATAATATTTTTATAAAATAATAATAATAAACGGACATGTTTATTAGATTACAAAAGTTTTTTTGTTTTTTAATTTAAACATAAGGATTTTAAAAAAATATAAAGCGGATCAAACGATGGAATTATTAATTTAACGAAATTGAATTTTATTCCTAATTTTTAATTTTGATTATAATCTTTGATTTAAAAATTATGAATATAAGATTAATGGCTTAGATATATTTTAGTATATATTTTATTTATAATACAAATTAGAATATTATCCAAAACTTTTTGAAAAATAGAAATTATAAATGACTTTTCTAAGAGCAATAACAACAAATATTTTTTTGAAATCTTCTCCACCTGTCACCAAATAGTTTTTGCAAAGCCAAAAATACAAATTACACAATAAGTATTAAAGCAAGGCCATTTTTGAACAGCTTCTTCGACCCGGCCTGGACCAGTAGAGGCCCTATCGACCGTCCTTTTTTCTTTCTCCTTCCTTCTCCCCCAAATGCAATTTTTGGAAGGACAATTTTGGTTGTCTTCATCGCTGTGCACGCCAACCCTCGGTGTCGACGTCTCCGTTGGATCAGCAATCGTCCTCATCATCGTCGTCAGTTGAAAGTAAAATATGTATGTTCTTTACACTCCAAGAACTCAAACTTAATGTTGAGGGTTTATGGATTTTCTGTGCTCGCTCTCAATTGTATTTAAGCTCTTTTGTGCACGAAATATTCCAATTTCCATAAACCCAATTCAACCCGTTTGAAATTTATTCCGACCAGCACTCGTTCTTGCCTTTCTTTTTATTTTTGGAATGTGAACTAGCTCAGATTGTTTTTTGTATTCCTCGTTTTATTAATTTGGTTTTTCGATATTTTTTGTGGCGATTTATTGTTGAATATTTGTTGTTTGGTCGAACTTTTCTGTTGATGCGATATTGGTTTTGAATAATTCCTCGATTGAGTTTGTTTTTTAATGAAATTATTTGAGGGTTTACAAATATTGACGATTTGGTGTAATAAATTGCAAATTCTATGATGAAATTAAGGTTAAGATAGATCGGTTGCTATTGATTTTGATGGATATATTGTCTATATTACTTGCAAAATTTACAATTTTGAGATTATGGTTCCATCTAGTTCGAACATTTATGAGCAAAACAACAATTCCCTAATTGTTATTGTTGGTTTGATGAATTTTGAGTACAATGACAAATGCATTTCCCGGCCTCAATTTGTTTGGATGTGTTTTTCAATTTTCAACTTCAATGTTCCATTTGAATAATGCAATCAAAACTTTATTAATAGCTTAATCAAGTTTTCGTAGCTACTGTAATTGATACTAGTGTCTTTTTTTATGTACATTATTGGTTATACATAATTCGAAATTAAATTCAATTATTTCTTCTTTAGGTATGAGCAATGGCGGATGAAGACGAAAGCCATGGAGATAATGAGGTACACGAGATTAATAATCTATCCAAGTCAAATAACAAGTTTTCTCAAAAACCTCTCAATAATTGAAACATGGATGAGGATGTGGAATAGACCAACACATAGTGCAACGTGACAACTGATGCTCGAGTTGGTGTTGGCCAAAAGAAATAGAGATTTTTTGGACGTATATGTGAGACTTTCGTTGTTTTAATGGAAGAAAACATAGAATAAGTAGACTTGAAAATAAGAGAATTCCTGGTGGATGTGAGAGCTGGCGGATGGAGATCCGATCGCAATGTACCAAATAGATTGCTATACGTGTCCAAGCACAACCATAGTATCGTAGATGTTAGAATCCAGCAGACTTCGTAAGTCATTTTTCTATTTCTATTACAATTTTTAGTTTTTTACTCCGATTGAATTCTTTATATTAATAGTAACCGGAGAGTGATAGTCAACATGCATATCTTGAAAAACACAAGACGGTCTTCAAGTTCGAGTTATATTGGTATATCGTAAAAGATCAGCCCAAATGGTTGGAATTTGTTGTTGGAAATAAAGGCAAAACACCCGATTGATGTTCTGAGGTTAAAAAGAACATCTTGAGAAAAGGTCTGCAAGTGATAATGTTGATAAACTCTCCCCAAAGACCTATGTTGATTCAACTACTGGAGCATTACAAATGGTTAAGATGCAAGGACAAGATGTTCATCTTTTGTCAGATTTAGGCAGATCTTCTACAATTGATTTAGAACGTCCAATTGGTGTTAAATAGGCCAAGACAAGTGATAAACTAAACAATCAGAAGAAGCGTAGATTGAAAAGGCTTGATGAGTCTCAAGCTTCGGTAACAAAAATTATCATTGCTGGTTTAATGACTATGGACTCCGAGAGCTGTGAAAGGTGGTCAGCATCGGAGGCTTTTGAATGCAAAAAGAAACGAAAGAATGAAGAACGCTTGTCTATAAGAGCTGAGAATGAGGTAATTTTGTTTTTTTTTTGTTTTAAGGCAATTATTTTTGTTAACTTTTACTAAGAGCCCACAATGAATCTAATGAAAAATATTTACTATTCTTCTATTAGCATACAATGAAAATGACTTGAGAAACTGGTTTATTGACCAAAGAGTTCAAGGATATTGACAAAAAGGTGATCGTTGCATGGGAAAAAATTTTAAGAGCTGGATCCTAATAATTTGGTGACAGAGGTAGACATAAGATGCCATACAATTAGAAAACAACTGGTGGATAATTACGAAGCCACTTTTGGAAGTGTGTATGTATCTCTACAATATTATTTTGTATGTTATATGTGGCTAATATCGATTTTATTTTTATAGCGATGCTTGAAACCTTGATTGCAAGTCGAGTGGCGGATTTGAAAGACACGGTGGAAGTTGGCCTAAGAGTCGGGCAAGGTGAAAGTAGAAAATTCCTTCTCAATGAAGACAACACTACTGAAGGCATTTAATAATAGTACAGTTGGACCGTTGAAACTGAGACTGGGAATTGTGTTGATTCTTTGTTGTTTGTTTACAATGTTGAAGGTTAGATTCTCGTTTTTGGAATGTGCATATCGGTTGTAGGTATCCTTGTGTGGAGAATTGCGTTGAAGTTTTAACAATTTAGTGTAGATTTGTTTATTGCTGTTAATGTTAAAGATAATTGTTGGACCATTGAGCAGTCAACTAAAGATAGTTTGCTACTATTAATCTTAATGTGCATATATATATTTGAAGAATATGGCTTTGTTTATTTAGAGTGTATAAGGATCTTGCATATGTTTATTTAAAGTGTATAGGGTGGTAGACGATGATAATGTATGCTTTCAAAGTGTATGGCTTTGTTTAATTAATATTTACGGACAATCCAATTTTTGGAAAAAAAATATCATATAAATATTGTATATTTTTTATAAACTATCATATATAATGAAAAATATATTATTAGAATTTGAAGTATTAGTAGTAGTGTATATCAAATCGAATATAACCATCCAATTCCTTATCTATACTAAAATTTGTTAGGTTCCACATCCATGCAGTTCTACATTTCTTTTTCATACGATAAAGGATATTGCCCCAGCCTTTAATTTAAATGACAAAAGAAATATGCTTACACTAGCCAAAAACATAGATTGAAGATCACAACATCTGCTTACACTTTAATTTATTTAGTAATTTCAAACAAGACAAATATATCAATGAATAAATCAAATGGGGGATGAAACGAACACTTACTGTTGGCACCACCATACCGAGCAACAACATACACAAACCTCTGAAAGACGTTATCATTCAACCAAAAGATGTAACAATTTTTTCCATATTCTACTTCATTCCTACAATCATATCATTCTTCACAATTGTATTTTAACTGAATAATTTAAAACCGTGTAATAGATTATGAAAAATTATTGAACTCTCGAAAAATTGTATTTCCAATATAAAAATACAAAATCACATGTATGACATAAATACATATATGTATCAATATATACACTATGGGTATACCTTGTAGTCGTGCAAATGTTAGCCCATCTTCGAGCCATGGTAGCTCCATGTGACAACCCGGCCCCTAAAACACACAAAACTAGGCGTGTCAGGATTAGACTGGCCACATAAGTCAACACGAGTCCTTCCAATATATTTTGTTCTCACTCATGCGCACCCTGAGAGACTTCCCGGGGTCACTCATCGTAAAATTTCTCTAGAGCAACCACGTTAAACTCTAGAGTTCTTTTAGTAGAGCTCCTAAAAAAGAATGTGCAGATTGTTGATATGAGTAATCTATTCAATCAATATACTTACTATTCAATCTCAGATGGCCTGGCACCAGGTCATCCGCGGGAGTAGGCCTAGCACTGGCCCCAACTCTGGAGGTATTACATCCTCCCCCTACTTATGAATTCAAGGTCCACGTTGCGCCTCAAGGATCTGTCAACTGCTAGTTCCTTCAACAGTCAGGTCAACAACTATGAGTTGTCGCAGGTCGACTCTGATACCAAATGTGACACCCCGACCTACAAGCCACGCAAATTCGGGCGTGTCAGGTTAGAATAACCTCATAAGTCAACATGAGTCTTTCCAGCGCGCTTTTGTCCTCACTTACGTGCACCCTGAGAGACTTTTCAAGAGGTCCCCCATCCTCAAATTACTATAGGAAAAACACACTTAACTCTAGAGTTCTTTCAATATGGCTCCTGAAAAAGAATGTGTACATTGTTGACATGAGTAACTGACTATTCAACTTTTTGAAAATATTTCTAAGAAAGAAAATGGTGTCAAGACGCTGCTCTACTCTTTCTTCCTTCACCAAGTTCTTATTTTGGAATAATCTTTTTAGAAGGGACAATTTTCTTTTCTAACTTTCTAACTAGAGCATACACTCTAGAAAGAAAGCATTATTCTACTAGCTAAGAGGTGTATCAGCAAGAACTAGTTTTATTAATTTGATTTTTCGATATTTTTTGTGGCGATTTATTGTTGAATATTTGTTTGGTCGAACTTTTCTGTTGATGCGATATTGGTTTTGAGCGATTCCTCGATTGAGTTTGTTTTTTAATGAAATTATTTGAGGGTTTACAAATATTGACGATTTGGTGTAAGAAATTGCAAATTCTCTGATGAAATTAAGGTTAAGATAGATCGGTTGCTATTGATTTTGATGGATATATTGTCTATATTACTTGCAAAATTTACAATTTTAAGATTATGGTTCCATCTAGTTCGAACATATATGAGCAAAACAACAATTCCCTAATTGTTATTGTTGGTTTGATGAATTTTGAGTACAATGAAAAATGCATTTCCCGGCCTCAATTTGTTTGGATGTGTTTTTCAATTTTCAACTTCAATGTTCCATTTGAATAATGCAATCAAAACTGTATTAATAGCGTAATCAAGTTTTCGTAGTTACTATAATTGATACTAGTGTCTTTTTTTATGTACATTCTTGGTTATACATAATTCGAAATTAAATTCAATTATTTCTTCTTTAGGTATGAGCAATGGCGGATGAAGACGAAAGCCATGGAGATAATGAGGTACACGAGATTAATAATTTATCCAAGTCAAATAACAATTTTTCTCAAAAACCTCCCAATACAACCGCCTTCCCGTAATTTAATCCCAACTTGAGCCAACAAGCACATGCCGTCCCCAATCACCTCGTATATGAGTTTCAGCCACCCATTTTCATTAATGCAGTGGTACCCCCAAACTAGTAATCCTCTATTCTACTCAAACATGTGGAGTTTCATCTCACCTAGTGCTTCATCTCAGCTATCATACCATGAAACTCAATCATCATAAGCCGTTGCATCACCATTTTGTCCTTTCCATCCACCGATCCACAATCAAAGTCCTTTACAAGTCAATAATCTTTGTAGGTCGTTAGAGACCAACCAATGTGCAAATAATAATTGGAACATGGATGGGGATGTGGAATAGACCAACACATGGTGCAACGTGACAACTGATGCTCGAGTTGGTGTTGGCCAAAAGAAATAGAGATTTTGTGGACATATATGTGAGACTTTCGTTGTTTTAATGGAAGAAAACATAGAGTAAGTAGACTTAAAAATAAGAGAATTCCTGGTGGATGTGAGAGCTGGGGGATGGAGATCCGATCGCAATGTACCAAATAGATTGCTATATGTGTCCAAGCACAACCACAGTATCATAGATGTTAGAACCCAACAGACTTCGTAAGTCATTTTTCTATTTCTATTACAATTTTTAGTTTTTTACTCCGATTGAATTCTTTATATTAATAGTAACCGGAGAGTTATAGTCAACATGCATATCTTCAAACAACACAAGACGGTCTTCAAGTTCGAGTTATATTGGTATATCGTAAAAGATCAGCCCAAATGGTTGGAATTTGTTGTTGTAAATAAAGGCAAAACACCCGATTTATTACGGGATAGCTCGCTCAACTAGGTCGGTTGGCCCACCTAACCGAAAGGGGAGTGGGTAAGTGGGCTCCTTTCACTAATGTGCTTTTGTTTTGGTAAAGGAGGACAAGAAGTTTTTGAGCTCTTTATTCAACCTCGGGGTTTCACATCATCTCTGACTCATATCACTATTCAACTCCTGAGGTATTATACTCCAATTCTCAACACTTTTGATTCTTCCCCCCATCATATATTCATTCCAATCATTACGTTTTTCTCTTTTTTCCCAATACCTACAACTTATCTGTTTTTAATACTATCATCATCCTTGTATATATAGGCCACACTTACCTTGCCGACTCGCCTACACACACTTGAACCCTTCTCTTTTCCCCACCTCTAAGCTCTTTGATGGTCACAACCTTACCAATTTCTCCGATTCTCAGCTGGACATCTTCAACTCCATTTCTAAGCTCTTCGAATGCTCACAACCATACCCGTACCCATCTTGAACTCCATCTTCATCTTGGATTGGTGGACGTTGTCGATTGTGCAGATGAGCATAATTTGTGCCAGACCATACATATTTGTGGTGATTACATTTGTGCATATTCATTGAGGTTTTAATACTCCTTCAACCCTGATGATTCATAAACCTCTTGTACATATTGTAAGCCATTATAGTATGACGAGGTGAATACTATTATAGCTACCGACTTTACACTAAACCAATATGCATGATAAACAAAATACATAAAGTATTACAACCGTAGGTAGTTTGAAGTAGAATTACATAATACTTCTTAATTAAAGAGACATACTGTCAAACAACTATTACAAGATTGTTAAAAACAAATGCATAGTTTTGCATTACATAATTAACATAATTATATGCACCTCATACATGTTCGCCACCGTAAATCATCCATTGATGATTCATGAGATTTTCCCGCAACCAATCAGTTACGTCCATGTTCCGAATTCTTTCTATTTGAACCCGATACAAAAAAAGACTTCGTTGACGATTGTATCACGCATCGGCATGCCCTGATCTTCTTCCGTGGGTGATGTCCATTTTGGTAAATCTTGGCTACGTTCATTTTAGACAACCATGTTGTGCAGTATTATAATACACGTAGTTATTATGTGAAGTAAGTCGGATATATTCCTTTGCCTAGCCGGCATCTGCAAAATGCATCATTTCTTTTGTAAAACACCAAAATTCTGTTCAATATCTTCACAACATGCTTCCTGCAATATCGTAAAAGCTCGCTCCTTGGCGGTTACAAGATTTCTCACCGCTTGCATGAATATCGCATGCCTAGGATATATCTCATCTATCAAGTAGTATGAGAGGTTATAGCATGTTCCATTCACCTCGTATTCCACTAGAGGTGTTGTGCAATCCATGTATTTATTGAACAAAGGGAAAAAATCTAAAATTGTTACATCGTTGTTTGTACCCGGCATACCAAAAAATGCATGCCAAATACATAAGTCCTGGAAAGCAGCAACCTCCACGATAAGCGTTGGATATCCATATCGGCCATTGTATTGTCCTCTCCAAGTAATAGGACACGCATCCTACCGCCAATTCATACAATCTAATGAACCTATCATACCAAGAAAACCACGTTGCGAACTTTCAGCCAATAATTGGGATATATCGTCAGGAGCGGGATCTCGTAAATATTGTTGTTTAGAAAGGGTAATCATCGTATTGAAAAAGTCTATTGTTGTATTCTTAATTTTTGACGCTCTTATTTTTATCACGTCATTAACACTGTAAAAATTCAAGC